TGTTACTTACCGTTTAAATAATTAACATGAATAAGATTCTATAATTTGGAAGTAAATACTCATCAAAATCATAAGATAATGATTATTATTTTTATAAATTTTAATGCTGTTACCTATTAATATTTCGTAAAGTTCTGAATAAACAGGCTAGATGAAGAAAAACATTTAAAGTCTTATTTGCGTCTCCAAATAACAATAGTTTTTACAAATGAAGAGGAAGAGCTAAAAATGATTCAAAAAATTAAAATGTACCATTTTACTTAACATGAAAACGAATATTCACATTTTTTGTTTTTAGTTTCATAAAATTCTCGGAAACAAGAGCAAATATTTATGTTCCCTCCTGTACCGGAAAATGTTTTAAATTCTTATTAAAATTTCCGGAAATTTTAATAAGAATTTAATAGATGACTAAGGCCTTACTAATTCAATAACTAACTAAAAGTAAGAGAGTTTAACACAGATTTTAGACAAAAACTTTCTACGCCTTTTAACAAAATTATTTATTCTACACCATTTAATCATACTTTTATCTCTTAAACAGTTGAAATAAAAATAAATAAGCAATACAAAAGATAAGAAACAGGAACTTTTGCGTCATTTTTGAACCAAGTAAGAAACGAAGTTATGAGGTAAGGTGTTTAGAAACTTCAAAAGAAGAATTAAGTTCAAACCATTATCTAGAACTGAGAAAATTTGATGAATACGAAGGATTTCGAGGACATCCTACTTACCATTTGAAAGCAGACTTAAAGTTAAAAGAGTAGCCAATGTACCAATGCTTGCAGATAAGATACTTATCAATGTTATTTTTGCTTTGTTTATATAAGGGCCAAAATTCTCGAAAAATGATGCAAAATAATTTCGCTGTTTGAGAAAGAAAACTTGTGATAAGTGATTTACAAGAGCTCTAGAGCTTTTCTCTAAGATAGTTTAAAAACCGAATATTACAAATTTCCTTTACATTTGGAGGAAAATATGCACTGAGACTGTCATAGTAAAACGGAAGCTGTGATTTCAGTGGCTAAAAATGTTTTTTTTTTAAAAAATAAAAACGATCAGAAAAGTTGGGGTTATATTAAAACTGTATGTTCATACCACCATTATTTTAAGTAATATTTCAGCATTTTCCTATTCTGATACCGTCTAGACTAGAGTTTCTCAGTCTTTTTTGCAGCATACACCACTTTCCCATTGCTAGAAGATCATTCGAGCTCAAGTGATGATGCGCACAATTATAATTCAAGCTTGATATATTATCATGCATTTATTATACTGATTTTTACTTCCTTGTACGAAGTAAAAAGGAAGTATTGTAATCGCGAAAAGCTTCAGGCAGCATATTTCAACGAAAATATCAACTTTAATCGCTTTCGAATGCAATTTAATGATGGTTTTACGTGATCTGTACGTAAGGACAGAATAATAGACTTTTCCTCCAAAAAAACTAAAAAACTTCTTTAAAATGAATTTTAAGAATTTTTCGTGGCGTCTGTACGAACGTATGTACGTACGTGCGTACGTACGTATCTCGCATAACTCAAAAACGAGTAGCCTCAGAACGTTGAAATTTTGTATATAAGACTACTATAACATGTAGATGTGCACCTCGTATTTTGGTTTCAATGATCAGCGCCAAACGTATATAAATATATTTATAAATATATTACTCTGTTACCCGGCTCAGTGATCTCAGTTTCTTTACTCTTATATGTTTGTAAATTGTACATTTTTTTGCTTTAAAAATGATTGAATTATGTTGTTTTTATCTTCTGGTTGAGGGCTTTATGCCTTTAGTAAATCTGTATGCAATATTTTTAGAATTATCAACAATTTTAAAATTGTTTAAGTGCTGCTAAGCCTAATTTGATGGCGGCCATTGATCTTGTTTACATTTGAAAGAGCTAAGTAGCGGATTTGTTGCCAATCTAGAGAAACTTAGCTTCGCAACAATAAAGATAACGCCTTCATTTATTATTTAAATCATGCTTAATCCTTTCTGTAATTTTTTCGAGGAAATAAGCGTTTAAGATTTACTTCGTAATTTTTAATACAGATATTTTGAGTTTTTATGTGTTTTTGCCTTCTCGCGAAGTGATAACTGAATTAATTGAATGAGAAATACTCAATCGTCTGTGGAAAACTGTTTCCTTTTTGTTTTGTTTGCTTAATTTATTTTATACATAGTTCTAGCTTTATTATAGTGTTTGAATAGAACATGTGGCAACGATTAGATAATTCTTTAAATGATATAAATTTTGTGCATTCTGAGTTATAATATGAACGAAATATAATACTGTTAATTAAACCTAGCGCCAGAGTGTAGCTATGGTAAACAAAGTGAATTTTAAAGAATGCATTTATTCTATTATGGTTTATGCGCTGTCGGCGAAGTAGGTTAAATTCAATCTTATAAGTTTAAATGAAATGCAAGAAAAAATGCGTATAATTTAATATTCCGTACAAGGATGTCATGTGGTGTACACATCAGATTTTTTATATTTGAAAGAACGAATTTCTCACCTCAGCTACCAATGATGTCGCGGCAGACTACCGGTAGCACGCAGAACCAGTTTAAGAATCCCGTAATAAATGCGATTGCGAGGGGGAGCTTTAGTCTTCAGAGAGTCCACAATAAAACACAGTTGTTATTAAAAGCAGATAGAGTTCCCACTGGAAGAATATTTCTTTGTTTAAAATTTTTGAAACCCTACGCGCATTAAAATTTCAATTCAGAAATCTCTATATATCGATAACACCGTGATAAAATATTTATTAAGTGTGAATGTGGAGATGGAATATTAGACGTAATTTCGATTGCTATTGTATGCCGTAAAAATAATGGTTGATTTAATTTTCAGTTCTAGAAGCAGATGAAGAAAAATTATCGGTACCTGAATAATATGACTTTCATCACTGAGTAGTTATTTCAAGATATCTAGAAGCTTAAGGAGGTATTATAGATAAGAACTTTAAAATTCGTTCAATAAAAGCGTTCTGAGAAGTCTTTATAAAGAGAACTTGACATTTTCTTCAGGCAAAGGAACAAGATACTTTTTTAACATTTATTAATTTTCATTCTTTTTCAAATGATGAGAATATGAAACATAATTTGCTTGCATAATCAGAAACAAAGGACACTGCGTATTTCTTTCATTCTATATTGTTAAGTTTTAATTTTTCATTGTGAAATTAAGTACGGAGCTTCCGAAGAAATCTCCTACATATAGTTTTAATTATATGTGCAAATATGAAGAATTATCTCTGAGAATCTAGAGCGCAAAATTAATGCGTCAAGTAACATAAAATGAAACTGAGAAAGAAAAATGTAGAGTATAGTCTTAGGTTGTTTTTAGCAATATGTTTTAAGTAGTAAGGATGTGAGGATTTATGACATTCTCCCAAGCGCGTTCTCATACTATGTAGTTAAATACTCCAGCTGACAGGTGGAAGGTATGTTTTTCGCTTTTATGCAGCAGCGCAAATGAGTTTTCATCGTCTAACGCGTAATGGTTTCTACAATGAATCTTCTTCCTGAAGGAGTAGTCAAGAAAAGAGGAAAATTGTTACAATTTGTGTTAAAGGCCCAGTCTGACGCTGTGTTGAATAGAACTGTGAAATTGGATTAAGTCAGCAACCCTCAAATGGTTTTCAAGATGCGATCACTTTTACGAGTATTCACCCTATAAATGAGGATGTTCTAGGGCCACCATATTCTTGCTCCCTTCGACAGCGGTTTTTTAGCAAATATTACTACCGATAGACTCATATTTTAAATAAAATTAATTAAAATTCACTTAATGTTATATCGATACTAAGCAATTAAGTTAATATAAAAGAAATTCATATCCGTATTTAATAATAAAGTGTATTAGAGTTTGGATATTCTTTAGCTTATTAACTAAAAATTAAAGAAATATTGATACTCACATTAAGGAGAAGGATGAGCAAACCGAATTTTGCTCAGTTTTATGTTTGGATGTAGTAAGTCTAAGTCTGATGTAAGGATGTTTGGATGTAAGTCACATACATCGAGTCGACTTCGATATTTTGTTTTTATTTGAGTTGGTGATGAAAACCTTTCCACAAACATAGTGTTTAAATTCCTCTTTCGTTGCTAATAGTCTAGTGGGCAGCCCATAGTTAGAGTAACACATAATAAATTTCATAACATCTCCATCTTGGAAGATAACATGATAGATGATTGGCGTGCGTAATATCCAAACTCTGAGAGTTTCAGCTATACTGTTAAATACGCAGTCAATGTGACTTTTCTGTGTTTTATTTAAATTTTGGGGGACACAAGGAGAAACTTCAAGGACCCCTTGTGATCCTCTGATCACAGATTACGAAACGCTGCCTATAAACGAAATAAGTACTATAACTTCTAATGAAAGTATCTTAGTTACGAAAACAATATGATCAAAAGTAACATAACAGTAACAGTTAACCTAACAGTAACTAAATTCTTATTTCCGAAATGAATGGTTAGGATGATAAATTATGTAATATTGAAGGCAGGTAGGGGAAAAAGGAATTTAAAAAATAGACCCTATTAGTGTATTAAAGCAGATTTTATGTGTCAGATAGACACCTTTGTAGCAGATTCCAAGTTATCTTAAAAAGGAGAAGAAGCTCGTGAGAAATGATTTGCAAATGTTACTGTTACTCTCCTCAAATTAAATGTTACTGTAATGCTGTGAAGGGAAGCTGATCGCCTCATAACAACGAAAATACAAATTCTTGCTTCCATATCGAAATATTTTACGTAATCACACGTCTCATCTTGCCAAATGGAAGTCAAACCTCTCGGGTAACAGATAATCTCGAAATATATTGGGAGAAGTTTATTTTAATCGAAAATTTCGTAAACTTTTCGATTCACTGCCCTCCAGAGAACTTTCGAATTATTCAATCTGGGGAGAAGGTTAACTTCTTAAGAGTATGAGTACATGATAGGGGGTGAGTGCGAGTCTTAATCATGAATTTCGAATACTCACCTCCCAGGCATGAGGTGACGGCGGCCATGAGGACAGAAAGGACGACAGATGGACCCGCGTGATCATGTGCAGCCACAGCAAACAGGACGTAGACTCCGGTCCCCAGAGTTGTTGCCAAACCTAGAAGATAGAAAAAGAAATACATTAGTAACAATTTAAAGTTAGAATTAAAGATGTACATATAGATACTATAAACTCGGTTTCAACCCACAGCTATAATAGAGAGCATCTCAATAAGGTGAATCATATGAATTTTTAGTCCAAAGGGACTTTGTCCCTGAAGGACTATTGTTTTCGTTTTGCGATTGTGCATTAAATCACTATAAATGGCGAATCACTTTTCAAATTGTTGCCACCAAATGTTAGAGTCCTGCATTATATTTGAAGAAATTAAATAATAAAAAATTTGCATAAATGTATGTATAATTCTCGCATTGTGATAAAACAACGGTACATAGAGCCATCAAATTTTGAATGACGTAATCCTCCTACGAATATGGGCATGTGGAAGACCAAATTTGAAATTTGTTTTATTATCGATTTCATATTTTATAAAACTTGAACGAGCTTTTGAGTAACAAACTCAACGATTTAAAAGCGAGCAATGGCAACACTATACGGGGGGGGGATTTTTTTATCTCCAGCGCGCGGAAATGTGTATCGGAAATTTAAAAGATATGCTCGTTTTAAAATTATTTTGCGACATTGCTACTGAACTCAATTTTACGGTTTAAGTGCAAAGAACATGATATTTGTTAAATAAAGGTAACACACAATACGTTGAAAAAAGTCCCTTTGGACGTAATTTAAAATCTGAAACCTTTCAGATTTTTTCTTTGTTTGTTTTTTCTTTAGGTAAAGATCATTCGCGCTGTATGTATTGTGATACAAAGGTTTTGAAAGGAAAATTTGTTTGTATCTTTGTCTTTTATCATAAATACAATTTATAATTTTAAGGCAGTTTTTGCCAATTATATTAATTCATATAAACGTTATGTCCGTAAATTATTGTTCTAAGATCTGCAAAACATTCCTGAAAGTCTGGAATGGTAATGATCTGTCTATCTATCTATATAAAGATCTATACTATGTCTATGTAGCTGATCATGATTTATATATCTATAGATATTTAAACATAGACAGACCAGAAAGCCCGGCGGTCATACGAAATGACCGCTGTTCTAGATATTATAAATTGTAATTTAAATGATTTGTGCAAAGGTGTCTGCTAATTCAAAATGAATTACCCAAGGCAGGCGGCGAGGACGCTCCTTTGCTTACTACCCCAAGGGGCTTCCCCCTTCTATTAGCTTAATTGCAAGTAGAGTGCAATGAAGGAAACCACTGGTGGTACATTTCTTAAGAGCCACCGCTGGCTCATTAAATAAAGGTGATTTAAATAATAAAATGTTAATTCCCATGACAAAGATCTTTTGTACACAACATTTCTTGTGTAGATCTTTCCATCAATTTTAAGCTCGCCTTCCAGAGTACCATCCTTTATTTTTAATTTTACGTCCTTTCTTTCACGAACTCTTGAACAAGCAAGATAAAGTTGACAGTGTCCAAATGCAGGCTCAGGTAAAGAAATGGCAATACGCTTAAGCGTTTGGCTCTGAGACTTATTGATGGTCATAGCAAAGGCAAGTTTTACAGGAAATTGTCTACGGCAATGTGCCGCGGCAGCTCCACCCCATTGGCTAGTACAGTTACGCAAGCAACCAACAAACTATCGGCGACAAACAGACACTTAAGCCGCATATAATAAAGATATTTATTTATTTAATTTAATTTTTTTTCGTCATTGTCGGTTTTTGCCGGTTACATATTTCCGAATTCTATTATATATAGATGTTAAATTTATTCATTAAATGTTAAATGCAAGTGCTCTTGTATTTTTAATTTTTCCGGCTTAGCTTTCTCATAATATTTGTCACGCGCTGCACTGCACGGGAAATAAAACAATTTACAGTTACGCAAGCAACCAATAAACTATCGGCGACGAACACTTAAGCCGCATATATATATGATACTAATTTGGATATTTGTATTTAGTTCTCTATATGTGATTTAGAAACAATCCGAAACGAAATGAAATCATAATTAATCCATTCTCTTGTGGCGGAAAATAACAGTACTTCATGGACAGCAAGCAAAACGAAATTTTTATTTGATTGGGAAAAATAATCTGAATGCGTTCAGATTTTAACGCTCGCCCCAAAAGGCTCTTCATAGCTTAATATGGTTTATCAACCGGCATTATAGATAGAAATAGCCCAGAAGGAGTAGCAAACATTTTGTATGACATAGATAAATAAAAATTTAGACTAACATAAGAACGTTATCTTCTATGTATCTAAAAAGTGAAAAAATATGTAATACAATTATATGAAATATTTTAGTATTTTTAATTAGGTAAATCATTAACTAAATACATTTTTATCTATATCAATCAAATTAAAAAAGTAAAAATATAATATTTTCAAGATATATATCCATTGCTTTTAAATAACTTAGTTTATTAATTAACCAACACTCAGGTTAAATATGAAAGAATAATATCCTACGTTTTTTTCGAATAACAACAGACTAGGATGGAAAATGAAACAACGCTTTTAAAGCAAAATCACATTTCGAGACTAATAGGACTTTTTGGCTATTAAAAAATAATAAATCAAATTGCAAATTTGGGCTTCCAGATGCCCATATTCGATTGGAGGACTACGATATTCAAAACTTGATGCGTCTAGGTACCGTTGTTTAATCACAACGCGAGGAACATACATACATTTATGTAGATTCTGCATTATTTAATTCCTTTAAATATAATACAAGACTCTAATATTTGGTGGCAACAGTTTGAAAAGTGAAAAGCCGTTTGTAGAAAATAAAACGAAATTAATAGCCCTTCTGGGCAAATTGCTTCTTTGGGACAGACAAATGAAATAATGAAATAAAACAGATGATATAAAATGCAATTAAAAGTAGTTTTTATACAATATGCTTTCATTTAAAATGGATATGATAGTTAATGAGCTAAAAGGAGAAAATAATTTATAGTTTAATGGGAATAGTTGGTTAAATAATTCTATACGGATTCATTGATTATTGGCAAACTGCGAATAATAAAAACTCGGGGCTACCATCATAAATTAAAAGAATCATGGCTTGTTCGTTTATTATAAATAAACACCACTACTTGGGGATATTTAAAATCACAAAGTTGAAATTTCAACTTAAACACATCGCAAATCGGCTAAAGCCGGAATATAAACGACAGAGATGGGCAGTAGAAAAAATGCGGGCACCGTTGCTAAAAGCTCTGGCTATATCTAAAATATTCAAAACTCTCGAATTAAATACACTTCAACTTAATTTGCATCCTGATGAGACATTATAGGGAAAAGAGACGTTATAGTGAAATTTTAAATCATAATAATTGATGAATTAGCATAAAATACCTTACATGCTTACACACAGAATAAAAAAAATTTATTTGCGGAGTTCTGAAAAAATAGTGCTACATTAAATTAAATGGCTTAATGTCAATGTATTTTGATCTGAAAATAATTTTAACATGGAATTCAAAAAATTATTAAAATAATTGCAAATAAAATTAATATCAGTAGTGCCATTTTGAAATGAATAAAATCAAATTTAATGAGGAAATTTTAATTTGGTCTTAAAAATAGTTAATCAAACAGAAAGCTTGTACAAATTAAAACGCAATAAAAATAATTAGAATGAAGCTAAAATTTAACCAAATTTTGGAATTTGAAATGTGCTTGAGAATAACACGGGGGAAAAAACTAATAAAAATTAAATTCATTTTGAAGTATGAAAGTTATAATGTTAACAGCTAATCAATAACATAAAAAGAGCATGAAATGTGGAAAAAGTTTTTTAACAAACTCTTTTTAATGAATTTTTAACACGCGATGTGTAAATTATCTGTCATAAGTTATCTGCAATTTGTTTTATTTAGGCCATTAATAATTTTAAAATCCCAAAACATAAACAAAGGTTTTAACTTTAAGAGTGTGACAAACGTTAAGGGAGAAGAGAACACACCGAAAAAAACCGTGTTTTATCATAGAATGCACAGTTCTGGACAATTTTGGTCTTTTGCGTAGATGAATTTTACAAATACGTTGACTATTAGCAAAATGTATAATAAATCTAAAAAAGACAGTTAAATAAAGGGGGGACAGTTCTATATCTCTCGTTCTACTGGGCCGATTGATGAAATTCAACTTGCGTTTTTCATTCTCGAAAGCGCGACTTAGGATATGTATTAGATTTATATATATCATTGTTCTAATATAGGTATTTTGCTACAAAATCGGACCTATTTCTGAAATAACATACCAATGTTTTTCCATATTTCAATTCTACGACTCAAATTACGCCAAACTACCAAGTTTGGTAAACATCACAGGAGCAATTTTTAAAAAATTAGCTCTCAAAATTTTAGCTCCTCAATATTATTAATTGAGTTTGGTATACATTTATTAATCTCTCTTTTTTATTGGTTCATTCCATATAAAATTCACCCATTTTTTATGATTTATTTTTAAAATTTGTATTTTAAATAATTTTTATAAATTTTTCAAAAAATAGTTTGAATTATAATCTGTAACATTTTTACCATCATCTTAAAGTAGACGTATTTCTAATTACAGTTTTTTATTTAAAACTTCCGAAGATATACACGGAAACGTTTTGAAATTAGGCATATTTGTTGAAAGCGACAAACATCAAATGTGGTTTAGACACTTTTCTAAAATTATTTGAAAGTAAGAACGAAGGGACCTTTTTCCGCTCATGCACAACGTAAAAAGGTAGGAACGAGGTGCCTTTTTTCCTCTCCGGCATAATGGAAGGGAAAGGAAAATGGGTTGCCATACATTAAGAAGTTCGCCAAGTGAATTAATTATTCTTCGCGCAAACTGAAAAATTATACCAAGATAAATTTTTGAATTTCTCCTTAAATGTCTCACCAAATTTTACAAAATTTAATATCTAGGCATAATTTGAGTCGTAGAATCGAAATATGGAAAAAAATGATATGTTATTTTAGAAAAAGTCCGATTTTGTGTGAAAATACCAATGCTATATATAAATCGAACAAATATTCTAAGTCGCGCTTTCGAGACATGGAAAACGCAATTTGAATTTTGTTAATTTGCCCAGTAGAACGGGAGATATAGAACTGTCCAATTTTTTTTCGCAGCATACATCGATTTACCAACATTGTTATGTCAGCAAAATACAGATTAGAGAGATAAACAGCGAATAAGGTTGTAAGGATTTAGCTGTTTATTTTTGACTAACAGTTAATTTTGAGTTAAATAACTTTTCTGTCGCTTTCTTTTTCACCCATATTTTTGATGCCAGAATGTAAATGAGATAGCGAGCATTTATTCAGATTGAAGGAGAAAGAAGTACTATTTAAGCTAAGGTTTCGCAAGCTGATTTTAGAGCGTTTTCTATCTACTTGAGGTCACGTTGTTACCGTGATTTAATAACAGTTTAATTCTCTGGCGTTGAGTGCTTCTAGCCATTAGGCTTGTCTCGCCGGTTTTCTAAAAACCACAGTCTTACTGTGCGTTACTTATGAATCGTTAGGGTAATCTAACTATATTTGATTTTAGTTCAATATGTCTTGTTTAAGTTAAGTCAGAAGTGTTGGCTTGTGTAAACCCAAGTTTGTCATTGTTACTTCTTTGTGTTCAAATAAAAGGATTGTATAGACCCTTCTCCTGACTTTGTCTGTTTGCAGTTTAAGACAAGAGGATTATTCCTCTATAGTCTTCCCAGAGCTCAGAAGTGTATGCTACCAAAGACAGTGAGACCCTATAAGGTAAATAACAAATGTAAAATATAGTAATAAGAAATTAATATACTTAGTTTTCGGGAAAATTTCAAGTAAACAATATCGAATAATAGCCCGAGAAATGTACTTTCAAAGTAAATGCTTTTATTCAACTAAAAATTTGTTTTCTGTAACCAAATTAATACTTTCTTCATGTGATCATGAGTAAAACAGCCTTGTTACTTTATAAGCTAATCTGATGTATACTGCAGATGTAGCTTTTACAATCATTACAAAAGCCGAAAATACATGATGTTTCTTTTCATTAGGATAATGACTTTATTATAGTGCAAGACTAAAACAGAATCACAACTCGACGTCTATCTCTATTTTGAAATTTCCGTCTTTTTATTAAAACTAAAATTTAAATATGTGATAAATGAGAATTACATATTTTAAGTACTGAAAAATAGAAATTGCGTCGAAAACGCTAATCTTGTATGCAAAAAAGTCATGAAAAAAACTTTTAACTATGATGGTAAAGAAATTGTAATCACCTACTTACTGTCAGCATTTTGAAATAAAATATTCATAAGCCCAAACTTGCTTTTTTAAATTTATTACCATAAAAGCAAAGAATGAAGAGACTGTGCTTAAATGGGAAAAAATTTTAATCCAAGATAATCTTTAATTCTTTTTTACTTTCTAATATTTAATTTATCCTGGTGATGTATCACTGAAACTCCACAGGGCTTTGTTTAATGCATTTGGCAAACAAACGACAGTTGGAACAAAGAACAGCTTAAACATTTTCGTAGATATGCTTTCTTTTCTACGCGCTTTAATCCGCTGCATTACGCAAATCACAAGTAACCTTTGCTGAACTAATGTCTGAGTATGTCGAACGGGGGGTTACGTGACGAAGAGAAGAAAATGTAGGATGTAAAAGGAAGGAAGATTCCGCTGAAAAGGAAGAGGTGAACTGTTTATTACATATCTAGTTTTAGAGTAGGTATGAAATGATTATTTTATTTTTTAAAGATGCTTTGCGTGGTACTTTGATGTTCTTAGGTTGGTAAAAGCTAGTAGTTTCCATATTTTGTTGACTAGGGGTATTCTTAAAATTATAATTTTTTTTTGTTGAATCTTTAAGAAGTATTCATTTGGAATTTTATTCAGATTCAGAAAATAGATATTAAGAAGATATTGAAAATATACCAATGTTGTGCGAGTTTTATGCTGAAAATGAAAAGAAAATCATTATTTCATTATTAAGTTTACATCGTTAACTCATCTTATGCATATTATTTTTCCCTTAGAAAGGCTTCCAAGAAAGATCCATCCTCATAGCGAGACATTCCTAAGGATAGACTGAAATCCAATCATAGATAGAAGATCGAAATCCAGTCATATTATAATATGAATTTATCCATTGAAATCCAACCAAAAACACAACCGAAACCCAATCATATTACTTTAAGTAAAAATAAAAATAAAAAGGAAAATATTATTTATTTAATTAGTAATTTGGTACATATGTTATTCAAACGTTCCTCCGAATTTTGATTTCGACTTCTGGAATCTACAGAGGATTGACATGGAACTCTAAGACTTTGCGCAGCATAGTTTGATGAACATTAATATAAATAAAGGAATTCAAAAAATGCATTAAGCAAAGAGGGCCTTTTTATAATCTTATCTGATTACAAATTTAAAAGAAAATAACATACCGTGAGCCTTAATATGACACCTTCATTAGATTTCTAAAAGTGCAATGATATTCGAATTCGTGTTATATGAGATAAAGAAAATGGTATTAAAAGTCGGCTAGGTTTATAGCATTAAAAAAAGAATGCTTTCGTTTGGACTTTAAACAATGCGCATTTTAACTGAAAAAAAATTTAGTCAAAAGTACGGATATTACATAATATTATTATAATATATTACATAATATTTGTTTCGTCATCCCTGCAAAACCTCATCAAACGAGAGTATTTTCCTTTTGGCGAAATATATTCATCTTCTCTTTTCTTTACTTTCATCTGACTTTTGTATTCTGCTTTTGCAAAATGTCTGTTTTTTTCGATTGTTTACTTTTATCTGAGAGGTATTTATAAAATCCATAGAGTTCTATTATATCATATGGAATTATATTATATTATATGGAATTCTATTATATCATATGGAGTTATATTATATTATATGGATTCTATTATATCATATGGAATTATATTATATTATATTATATTATATGGAATTCTATTACATCATATGGAATTATATTACATTATGGAATTCTATTATATCATATGGAATTATATATATTATATGGAATTCTATTATATCATATGGAATTATATTATATCATATGGAATTATATTATATTATATGGAATTCTATTATAGCATATGGAATTATATTATATTATATGGAATTTTATTATATCATATGGAATTATATTATATTATATGGAATTCTATTACATCATATGTAATTCTATTATATTATATGGAATTCTATTACATCATATGGAATTATATTATATTATATGGATATTCTATTATATGAAGTTTAGTATTTCTGATGCTCAGTATGAAACGTAATTTTCATGACCGTGTATCAAACTGCGTTAGAACGATGCAGTATTGTAGTAATGCTGCTTTACAGGAGAATGCTCTTCAGTTCTCCGAGCATATTAGAACGAAACTGTGTTGTAGCTGTAGGGATGATGCGCAGGTTCGATTCTGTGTAGGATCGAAAGTTCTCTGCAACTGAGAGAAAAGTAACTCAAAAAGCGGTGTCAATCTATCGCCATACCAGTGCAGGGATTCTAATAATAATGTTCTATTGTTTGGATTATTATTACCTTTCTACTATCAGTTTTTTCCTGTTATTAATTATAAGTTTTGTTTTCGTTTTACTAATGTGTATTGTGTGTCGATGGTTATAATATGACGATGTCGATTCTACGCCGCATGAAATGTATGCTGGTGGCGATTCGGCACAAAATTGATCCTGTATTTGTGTCGATTTTATGGCGTGTAGAAGGTACGTCGGTGTCAAACGTACAAGTGTCGATCCTATAACTGTGATGACACTACCAGGTGACAAATATGCATTTAACTCTCTTACTCAATGTTACAACCTTATCAAAATTTTTTAAAACAATGTCAGTTATATGTCTGTGAGCATCATGCCCTGGTGTCGATAGTACGGAATATCGATGCTAACCACTGTCGATTCTATACGGTGTTGATCCTGTGCAGGGTCAGTTCTAAGAACGTAAGTCATAGGAGAGACCTATTATACGAAGCTGCCTGTATTAAAATATGATTACATCTCCTTTTTGTTATGCATTGAATACAATAAGCAAACACACGAATTAAAGTGATAGAAGAAACATAAATATCCCCCCCCCACATGCTAAAAGCGTCAATCCAAATTTAGTGTAAATTATGCAGTAAAATTAGATAAAAACTCCATAAATTAAATTACAAGCAATGGATCAGTTAAGCTTAAATTATGAGCAATGGATCAGTTAAGCATTTCAAACTCAACGTTGAATGCATGAGAAAAAATGATTCTAATTTAAAAACTTTTCATATTTCGGGCGTAATCCAGTTCTGTTTTGTTGTTTATAATTTTATAAATTTACTGTAAAATAAAAAATTAAGAAATACTCTCGCTTTCAGATTCCGAAATTAATTAACTTTGCGAAGAAATTTGAATTTGAATCCTCAGGCAATTTTTAATTCTGGAGAATGTTTCGCTATAAGGGACGCACTGAAAGCTCTCTTTCGCTTACACCGCATCTTGGTTTTAGCAAGAAGATTCTAAATAGAGGTGAATGGTTTGTGTTTTAATCGTTTCAGAGAAATGAAGAGTATATGTTGAAAAACATTTTAAAGGATCGTTGAAGGAATATGCTGAATTTGGAAAATTGGCGAAATATTACATGTCCCATTAACGTTTTTGTGCATTTTTTATTTTTCCGTTTCCCTTCAGCAGAATGCAATTTGAGCAGCAGAGATTATTAGGCCTTCATAGCAAGGAAGGTCACAAATCAACTGTGGCCTTGCTGGGTTTCGAATCATGGATCTTCCAGTTGTTGATTGGGCATGCTTACCATTTACACTACGAAAGATACTTGATACTTCTAACAATATGATAAAGAAGTGTAAAAGCAATAGATTATATTTAAGCCTATTTTTGGTCAGAACGTGTTTTAGGAGTCTAGGGACATCATATAAACGTTTCTTTTGCTTTTATTACTGAAATACATTCTACACATGATATATGGAAAGATTTCTATTTTGGCAGCATAATTATCAACAGGAGGAATTATAGTTAAGTGAATTATCAATGACTTGATATTGTGCTAGTTTTCAAAACAAACTTTACATTTTCAGAAAAATGGAATTTTCCAAGGACTAACTATTCGATGAAATTGAATCAAATTTGGTAAAAGAAAACCTCGATACATAAGTTTTAAAACCGGAACTAGTCATAAACGTGTATGAAATCTAAATATAAAATTGATAAAAAGAAATCGTACTAAACATTCGGAGATGACTAAGAAATAAGTTTTGAAAAAACATGATCATTTAAAAGCTAATTAAAATTTTTTAATTTAACAAGGTGAGTGATCGATTCTAATGTCACAATGGGATTTTCAAAATTAAAGTGTTAACTAAAACTTCAGGCAACTGACTTCTCTTGAATGTTTTGCCCAACTTTTAAGGTTTAATGTCTTGCAAGAGATTTTATAAGTGCGTTTCAAAGACTTTCTGTTATGTATAAATTTGTAGATGGATTCAAATCTCGTTTAAAGACTGACTTTATGCTTCCCTCTTGTCCACTCGCGAAAGCAATATTGTTCTGTAGTAAGGTTCTCGACATTGAGACGGCTATATGACGGATGGCTTTGGCATTCACAACGAATGTTTTGAGCAAGAATAAAACTTCTCTCCTTCAAAAAAATTTATTTACTGTATATTCCGGCGTATATCGTGCACTTTTAATACAAAAAAAAAAAAAAAAAAAAAAAAAAAAAAAAAAAAGACCTAAATTTACGGGTGCGCGTTACACGATGGATATAAAAATGATCGATTTAAAAGTAAGGAAAAGATGAGCATACAAAAATTAGATTTCTACATGTACATAAATGCTGTTTCTTTAAAAGAAATGACATACCTTATGGACTGAATATGGACCTGAATTTGTTATTATGGATTTGAATTTATTATCATTTGATAACACGAAAAGTTCCTCCTATTCGTCTTCCATTACATGTCCAGGCACATCATCGAAGTCTGTTTCATCATTATGAATCGTTCTTGCTTGAAAATAGTTCTTGCTTGATAATATTATAGATAATAGTAGTTGATATGCACGAGTAACTGAAGTCGAGAACACAGAATCAGAAAAACTGGCGTTTTTTGAAATCTGCTCCGAAATAAGGAATACTTATTCGCCGATGTATCAAAGAAACTTGTTAGATTCATAAAAAGAAACGAACTTTTCATTTAAGCTATAAAAATACTATTCTAGGTCTATAAAAGGAATTCAGATTTTGCTGTGGAAATATGTAACA